GCATGGTTTCACTTTCAGACCCAGAGGTTGCTGCTTGACTGAGATTAATGTTAGAGAAATAACTTTTTACAACCATGGTCATGTAACTACAAATCTGGATTGGACAAAGGTGAGCGCCAAGAGCTGCAAAACACTGCAGGATGTTGAGTTTCAAATTTAAAAAAAATACTAATATTTCGCAGAAACTAATTTTTCCGTTTCTGTGAGTTTCTAGTTCAACTGTTCCGACGTTACTTTTTACTGGCCCCGGGCCATCGGGCCACCATTCGTGATGTCTTGTGAGCTAAGTGTTCTTCACACCCCTTTGTCCCCACTTTGAAGTGACGCCCTTGCTCAGAGGCCTGTATCTGTTTGTTGGTTATTATTACAGTCCTGTGAGATTTTTTTATTTTGTTTCACAGCTATTGATTTATTGATCGCTGTCTGGATATGAAGAGAAGTTGCTTCTGAAATAAATTGCCTACCTAGCTTTAAATTTACATGGACTTAGAGGAGCCATTGTTTCCATGCAACGTTAACTCGACTCCAGTCATGAAAGTCTGCAGAAAAGCTACAGTTGCACACTGCTTTGTAGCCTTATAACGTGCAAATTGATTTGTCCTTTACCCCTGTCGCTTTGATCCGTTTAATACAGTCTAGGTTTGCTCCAGTGGACCGTTTTTGGGGGGTTTTTTTACACAGCAATGGCAGATCATGGAGCCTCTTAATAGTTCCCAGAAGTTGCAGCGCAGTACAGTTGCAGCAGAATATTACGGAAGCCCTAAGCCCTCCATTTTCTCGTGATAACGGGATAATTTCTCGTGATCTCGAGAAACGCTGACCCATATTACTATCCTGGTGGTACACAGCCCGGAGCTTGGGAGCAGCGCTGCAGCTTTTGGACAAATAAACCCCTGTAGTCGGTCTGGATTCTGCCCTGACAGCTACGCCATTTACCCGCGGGAGGAGCTCAGAGTTAACTGCTTTTATTAAATTAGTTTTTTACTTTAGTTTTTGGGATTACAGTGTTGATTTATCATCGTTTGCCACCCAGAGCTCAGTTGGACTTGATATTTATATAAAAACCGGACAAAACTGGACAATGCTTGGAGAAAAGAAAGCAAGGAAGCTGAAGCGTTGCGAGGATTAATATCGTTGTATTGAACACACTATAACCGATTCATTACAGTAATGTTACTTTCAAAAACTGTGGCAAATCTCACTCATATACTCAGTCCCCTCACTAACCTTTGGTTATCATCCAAAACATTTAGCTGTCCTGATATTGCTGAGCTTCTGGTGAAAGATTCAAAATAGTTAATGAAGGGGAGCTAACGCTGATGTATCAAGTTGGCTAAATACAGTCAGTGTGGCGGCAACTAGCATAGATTAGTTCACCTCAAGCTGATAAAACAATATTACTGTAACGTTGCAGTGGGAGTTTAAATGAGTTTCCAGCATGTTGTGTGAAGCTGTCTCTCTGTTATTTTGGTTTCTGTGTGTCTGAATATGCTCACTAATGAGTTCGACCACGAATACGAGCACACACCAGGTTGCAATATCAAAACCGCACTGCTGTGGCCGCTGAAAACTACATATTGTCCCTTTAAGTCAATAAGTACCTTACTAAGTTTTTTTTTAAGGTAATGGGGTGAGTCTTGCATAAACTTTGCTTTACTATGTTTGCAGCTTACTGCTCTTTTACTTAAGTTTTTTCTTACTGCTTTAAACTGTGTCCATAATAACTAGTTCTTTCTGTAATTGACAGGTCAATTTTATTAATTTTTTACAACTTTGGTTTTATTTGGTAGTTTTGTCCATCATTACTTGCAGTTGTTAGCATCCTCACTATGGTTAGCAGTGCAAGTTTAAAATGGCTTTCGAGCATTGAGGATTTTGTAGCTCACTGTGAACTTATTGGCCGTGATTATATTGCTGGCCTTTCAACAAGTTTTGAAAATAATCTTTTCTTTGAAATTCCATATATACATATATATTTATATATTTAAAATATATAAAATTTATGCTTCTTCAGTTTTCTGATTTATTGTAAGTCTTACCTACTACTGTGCAATATGCGCTAGGAAAAGTTATTTTATATATATATATATATTTATTACATACAAATTGTATTATTGTTGATATGACTGTAACTCTTGAGAAATTTGGATGACAGGGAAGTGTCTCACTTTTTTTTTTTATTAAATAAAAAAAATCAACTAGATTACCAAAGACTGAAAATATTTTGCCTTTCCTGACAAATCTGTGTTGTAGCAAGCTGGTGGTCCAATCTGTAGACAGAGCATTATGATTTGGACAGTGCATGGCACACATGATACCCATTAATAGCACCACTGGAATTCCACAGTGTACATGATCCTAACTGCTGATCAGGTACAACCACTTCTGTCCAACAGTGTGCTCTTTCTCAATGGATGAAGTCAGCAAGCATTCATGGACTTCAGTCCACCCCACTGACCTGGAACAGTCTCCTCACATCAACCTTTGTATGAGGTGAAACAAGAAAAATCTGCATTTTAAGAAATGACGGATTTTACCATACAGTGGGTACGGAAAGTATTCAGACCCCTTTAAATTTTTCACTCTTTGTTTCATTGCAGCCATTTTCCAAAAATCAAAAAAGTTCATTTTATTTCTCAGTAATGTACACTCAGCACCCCATCTTGACAGAAAAAAACAGAAATGTAGAAATTTTTGCAAATTTATTAAAAAAGAAAAACTGAAATATCACATGGTCATAAGTATTCAGACCCTTTGCCGTGACACTCATATTAACTCAGGTGCTGTCTATTTCTTCTGATCATCCTTGAGATGGTTCAACACCTTCATTTGAGTCCAGCTGTGTTTGATTATACTGATTGGCTTGATTAGGAAAGCCACACACCTGTCTATATAAGACCTTACAGCTCACAGTGCATGTCAGAGCAAATGAGAATCATGAGGTCAAAGGAACTGCCTGAAGAGCTCAGAGACAGAATTGTGGCAAGGCACAGATCTGGCCAAGGTTACAAAAAAATTTCTGCTGCACTTAAGTCCTAAGAGCACAGTGGCCTCCATAATCCTCAAATGGAAGACGTTTGGGACGACCAGAACCCTTCCTAGAGCTGGCCGTCCGGCCAAACTGAGCTATCGGGGAAGAAGCCTTGGTGAGAGAGGTAAAGAAGAACCCAAAGGTCACTGTGGCTGAGCTCCAGAGATGCAGTCGGGAGATGGGAGAAAGTTGTAGTAAGTCAACCATCACTGCAGCAATCCACCAGTCGGGGCTTTATGGCAGAGTGGCCCGACGGAAGCCTCTCCTCAGTGCAAGACACACGAAAGCCCGCATGGAGTTTGCTAAAAAACACCTGAAGGACTCCAAGATGGTGATAAATAAGATCCTCTGGTCTGATGAGACCAAGATAGAACTTTTTGGCCTTAATTCTAAGCGGTATGTGTGGAGAAAACCAGCACTGCTCATCACCTGTCCAATACAGTCTCAACAGTGAAGCATGTGGTGGCAGCATCATGCTGTGGGGTGTTTTTCAGCTGCAGGACAGGACGACCGGTTGCAATCGAGGGAAAGATGAATGCGGCCAAGTACAGGGATATCCTGGACGAAAACCTTTTCCAGAGTGCTCTGGACCTCAGACTGGGCCGAAGGTTTACCTTCCAACGAGACAATGACCCTAAGCACACCGCTAAAATACGAAGGAGTGGCTTCACAACAACTCCGTGGCTGTTCTTGAATGGCCCAGCCAGAGCCCTGACTTAAACCCAATTGAGCATCTCTGGAAGACCTGAAAATGGCTGTCGACCAACGTTTACCATCCAACCTGACAGAACTGGAGAGGATCTGCAAGGAGGAATGGCAGAGGATACCCAAATCCAGATGTGAAAACTTGTTGCATCTTTCCCAAAACGACTCATGGCTGTATTAGATCAAAAGGGTGCTTCTACTAAATACTGAGCAAAGGGTCTGAATACTTATGACCATGTGATATTTCAGTTTTCTTTTTAATAAATTTGCAAGAATTTCTACATTTCTGTTTTTTCTGTCAAGATGGGTGCTGATGTACATTACTGAGAAATAAAATGAACTTTTTTGATTTTGGAAAATGGCTGCAATGAAACAAAGAGTGAAAATTTAAAGGGGTCTGATACTTTCCGTACCCACTGTATATCCTCTGTCTGCCTATATTGTGCAGGAAAGCAAATGGTGATATTGAAGCGCCACATCTGTCTCCAACATAACTCTTCTTAGAAATGGAGCAAACTGTGAGATTCCGGGTCCTCATCGATCATGAAATCAAGAAACTCACTCTCAGCAGTGGCATGCCCTCAACTGTGAATGAGTTGGTTGCAGCTGTCAAAGAACATTTTTCCATCCCCACAGATATAAGTCTTCAATACAAAGATGAGGAATTTGATGACTTCTTCACCCTAACATCTACCAATGAGCTGAAAGATAAGTGCACACTTAAAGTTGTGTATACACCGCTGGAGTTGACGCTGACCGTTGTTCCCCAGGAAAGCACCCCAGATGCCTCTGATGTCAGCTCTCTCTGTGAGTGTACGAGTCTCAGTGGGAACTCAGTGGATACCGTCATTCCGAGTCCATCCCCCTCTGAAAGGCAGAGCCCATGGCCTGCTGTGTTTCCAATTCCAACCTTCTCACACAACACTGAACTGGCCTTAAGACAAGGAAACGAGATTTATTTAAGAGATGGCACCCCTATGATCACCAAGTATCAAATCAGACATCCTGGAGCGCCTGGCAGAGGCCATGTTTTTCTACACAGCTTACCCCAATGATGCCCAGAGATGTGCAGTGGCAGAGGCACTAGTTGCAAAGCATCCCTGCTTAAAGGAGCCCAGATCTTTTAATGGAATTTATGGGTGGCAGGTAAGCCTAAAGTATAAGTGTGGAAACTACCGGACAAAACGGAAAGCACTTGGAAGCACTGAACTCCTGATAAACTCACTGAGAAACAAGTCAAGTGATGAGCGAAAAGCCGCTAAAAATGTCAAGAAACCAAGAGGGCAGAGGTGAATTACTTGCCCTCACACCACATGGTGAAACAGATGACACCCTTGAGAATCTGAGACTTGACCTAATTGCTGCCCATCAGACAAAGGACTCTGTCAGGAGCACAAATGATATGATGGCCAGAACATACAGCTGGAGAAGACAGGAAGTTATTACCAAGTCTCCTGGTGTGGCAGAATTCAAGGAAAGATGGCCTGCCCTCTTCGAACCATTCCAGGTAAGTGACTTATCATTCAGTTTTTGCTGACACTACTCACTTCTGAGAACTTTTTAGAAATTGTGACTTGGACATGAGATAGTAGATTAATCTTTAAACCCCTTAAATAAGTCAAACATTTGCTGTCTTACAGGTAAACGAGGAGTTCCGAAGATGTACTGCAGTTTCCCTGGAAGCGACGTTTATGTCACAGCTGGACAAATACACCCCAAAGCTCCTAGAACTCTTTAGTGCCAAGGGAGGAGCAACTGGTCAACGCATCAAAAAGTTGTTGATGGATCTGATACAGGTAGGGAAAAATTGGTTACAAAGTTAAGGTACGATATTAATCAATTGAGTGGTTTTGTTTTTCAGTTTTTCAGCATCTTGCTTATCTGGGTGGTTTTTGTTTGTTGTTTTTTGTTAATTAGCCAGTTTTTTTCTAAATTGTCTCGTGTTATTACTATTAATAATTATAATGAATAAAAAGAAAAAATAATACAGACCTACAGTAATTACAGGGTTGGAGTGAATTTACCAACAAAAATAATTTATTCATTATTGTTCTATTAACTAGGACCCAAGTGCCACTACAGTGAAGAAGAGAGATGTCACTCTGAGATGCCTCTTTGAGTATATGGGAGAGAGTGGACAGGAGCTTATCTCAGATTACTGTGTAAGTATTGTCTCAAAGCAGGTTTGGGTCAGTCTGGTGAACATGTTTAAATTGTGCGGACTGTTAAAGGATAACTCTTGCCAAATTGCAACCTAGGCTATTTTTGCTAATCTACCAGAGTCATACTTTCTTGTAAAAGCATAATTAGAATGGAAATACCACTTTTAAGATTGACCGTATTTCGTTTTCAGGTCAAAATGCCTTTTGAATGGGTGTGCTAGGGGCACTACAATGATTGCATCAAAATCGCTAGTTTTAAAACACTAAAGCGGCTCTACACATGAACTTGAGCATTGACAACATTGTTTGTGTACACACAGTTTACTAAAAAGAAATGTTTTGTGCGACTCACATTATCAGTTAGTGTTTACGGTGGCTAGAATTTTGACAGTCAAAAGTATTCGATCTCCGAATGTAATGAACTACATATGAGGAAATGTCATGAACTTGTAATTCCAATAAAAAGATAACTTAGCTCATGGCAATTTATATGGAAACAAACTTTAGGAGCTTTCCATCTTTACTCTCCTCATGTTGCATTGCATTTGGAGATTGACAAAATTCCAGCTACCAGAAACACAAACATGTATGTATGTATGTATGATCTACAGGGTATTGCACCAATGTTGTCTTAACCTAGAAGTGTGTCTATAACAGCTTTTCAGAGGATTAACTAGCGCTTAAATAATATGAATCACTGACTTGTCCAGGCGACACATAAAACTAAACATCAGTTGTCTTAAGAGTTCCTCACAGGTTGGCACTCTAGTAGACACAAACAAATGACTGGCCCTATGTCACCTAGGCACACGAAACAGCAGCCGCCACTGATAAAGTGAGTCGTACAAAACCTTTCTATAAGGCGCACTTAAAAGCCTTTAATTTTCTAATCCGGAGCGCCTTACATATGAATCAATTGGTTAATAACGCTCTGCGTTATTAAATTCGCCCGTGAACTCGCGCTCGTGTCCATCTTATGCCCGCTCTGTCACACGGCCAGTTCAACCTCGTATAAATCATGTTATGTGTGTAAGTCACGTGCCCGCTCACGACCGCTCACTCTTACTAACAGACACACAAACAGACACACTGTCCCCCGCGCTGCTCGCGCGTCACAGAATGTTCATAAAGCGCTCCCTGTTCACAGTAACCGGGTCGTCTCATTCAAACAGCCTGCTGTTGCTGTCAGCGAGCCGCCGCACATGAATACTCATGAGTCAGGCTGCGAATGCAAGTTACGTGCCCGCCCCAGCGCGCTCACGCTTACTAAAACGCCTCACCTCCGGTGCCGCGCATTCGCTACATTCCCTTTGGCACATCTAGTGGATGCATAACGCAAACCCAGTCAAACGTTTGACTGCAGTATCTTATGCGCCTTATAATCCGGTGCGCCCTATATATGAAAAATGTTCTAAAATAGGTCATTCATTGAAGGTGCGTCTTATAGTGCGGAAAATACGGTACACAATGTTGTCAATGCTCGAGTCCATGTGTAGAGCCCCTGGTGACACTTCAAGTACAGTTTCATGTTGTGTTGAGCCTTCTTAGTGTTTTAAAAATAGTGATTTTTATGCCATCATTGTAGTGCCCCTAGCATTCAAAAGGCATTTCGACTTCATATGAAAAAAGTCTATCTTGAGAGTGGCATTTCCATTCTAATTATGCTTTTACAAGAAAGAATGACTCTGGTAGATTAACAAAAATAGCCTAGGTTAAATTTTAGCAAGCGTTTCCCTTTAATGTGAACTGAATGAACCAGCATTTGGCAGGTAGTGGATTATTTATGCATTTATTTATTTTTCTTAATAAATGAGATTGTTTGTCTTAAATACTTTATCTTGTATCTCAAAAGGGGGCCGCAGAGACCACTGTTCATGAGGACCTGAAAATTAAGAACATGAGCATCTATGTCTGCCGTGAGCCAGATGCAGTAGGAATCATCATTGAGGGAATACCAGTCCTTACCAATCTTGGAAACCTGGCCAAAGCATGCTGCTTCCTGCTTGGGTTGACATATGCACTTAATCTTGAGTATCCATCCAAGCTTTCCAAAACATTTGAGGTGTTTCAAAGACTTTTCGTGGGACTTGACACACTGCGCCCAAAACCAAGCCCCAAGTTCATGACCCTGAAAAACAAACTCCTTGCCTAGGCACTCAGACATGACTGTCACTGCACTTGTGAACAGCTGTTTTCTTTGTCTGTTCAACATCATTATACATTGGACATAATGGGTGTTATGTCCAATGTTATTTGGACATAATTGGACATTCAGGTTGTTGTAATGGTTTATCCTTGTCATGTTTTATACTGTACACAGGTCATACTTCCTGGTGTGAAAAAGTAATTATATTTTACACACAAAATAGACCTGCTGTGAAGCTGCACTTTAAAAACTGGTCAGTAGGTGAGATCAGTGAGATGTTTGACTAAAGACGTTTCAAAATATTCACACACGCTGTGAAGGTATTATGCCAAGTTGAGGTCAGATGGTCATGCTTGTGACCTGTAATGTTAGTGTTATAATGTTTCAATATTATGTTCACACTGTACTGTTAAAAGGATAGTTCACTTCAAAATGAAAATTCTGTCATCATTTACTCACCCTCAAGTTGTTTTAAACCTGTATGAATTTCTTTCCTCTACAGGACACAAGGAAGATGTCTGAAGAATGTCAGTAACCGAACAGTTAACTGGACCCATTGAGTTCCATATTAGAAAAAAATAAAAGACTATGGAAGAACATTCTTCAAAATATCTTCCTTGTGTTCAGCAGAAGAAAGAAATTCATACAGGTTTAAAACAACTTGAGGGTGAGTAAATGATGACAGAATTTTCATTTTGAAGTGAACTATCGTTTTAAGGTGTTTTACTAACCTACTATTTACAAGCTGAGGTCATATTTTGTTTAATACATGAATACAGAAGTTCTTGATTGTTTATACTGTCCAGCTCATTCCCACTATTTGGATATGGCATGTGAATTGTTAAAAAAATAGCAAGTGCCAGTTAACTTGATATTAAAATGTTTTAATATTATGTATGTACACACAGTAAAATATACTGTGAAGGTGTTCTTCTAACCTGCACTTTATAAGTTGAGGTCATGCTTTTTTTTAATGCACGAATAGATGTTATTGATTGTTAACACTATCCAGCTCATTTTGAATTTGGTTTGTAAATTGTTACTTAATTTTAAATTTTAATTTTAAATTTTTAAATTTTGTAACATTATGTACACAGAACTGTACTGTGAAGGTGTTCCACTAACCTGCACTTTATTTGCTGAGGGCATGTTTTCTTGAATGCCTGAATACCAATGTTTATACTGTCCAGCTCATTGCTACTGTTTTGGATATGGCAATGATTTAATAAATGTTGGAAATTGACATAGTAGCAACTATTTATTTGAAGCTATTTACACTTTCAAAACAAAGAGGGTAAATTGATCAAAATTAATAAATCAGAACATTATCTACTTATTTTTTCATTTAAGTTACCTATTTTAATTAAGTTTAATGTGTATAAAATGATGATATTTTCTACATTGATAGTACTCAATTTATTGGCTTTTTCTGAAAATGCTACTTAATATTTTTGCATACATTGAAATTCACATTATTAAGTTGTCTTTACTCAAAATATCAGTTAGTTCACTAAACTTGAAAAAAATAGTTGGAAAATGTTGTCTTAATTTTATTGAGTTAGATCCAAGTAACAGTTTTAACAGTGTACTAAATACTGAGCAAAGGGTCTGAATACTTATGACCATGTGATATTTCAGTTTTTCTTTTTTAATAAATTTGCAAAAATTTCTACACTTCTGTTTTTTTCTGTCAAGATGGGGTGCTGAGTGTACATTACTGAGAAATAAAATGAACTTTTTTGATTTTTGGAAAATGGCTGCAATGAAACAAGAGTGAAAAATTTAAAGGGGTCTGAATACTTTCCGTACCCACTGTATTTAAAAAATCTAGGCTATATTTAGCCCAGAGCCGGCCCTGCACCAGCTGACGTGGATGATGGCGCGTTTCAATTGTGTCGCCGTGTGTGGCCCTGCAAGGTAAACACCTCAGATACCAGCTGCTACTGAGACGTTTAGGCCTACCTTTATTGAGTTGCCGTTATATGATTGGACGCTGCAGCTGATCGGACTGATCTGATGCATCACGACAGATAACATTAAACTCAAGCGCATCACTGCAAAGAGTTAGGCTATATTTGTTTTATGATTCACTGTCTAGTTAAAATCTGAGTTCATTGTAGGCTAGGTCTGAACAACAAAAGCCCCACACACAACTTTCTTCTATTAGAATGATTTTATTTTTCTTTTATTTCTTCCATCAACTTTTATTATGGAGTTATTATGGATTAAAGTCAGAGAGAGTCGGAGAGCCTGTCAGCAAGAAACATCTTTTACATCATTTATCGTCATTTCTATTCAGTCACATGTGAGGCTGGTCATTCCTGTGTTTAGTCCAAATAGACGACAATAAAACATATGAACAAGTTCGGAGTCGGACAAGTCAGTAAACTGCACTAAAGCCTCTAGTGAAGCAAGCAAAGGAAAATAAATAGCTCATCCAGCCGATCTCACCTACTGCATCTGATGAAAGCAGCTGACGGCTCCTCGAGTAAAATCAGCTGATGAAAGTAGGCTATGAATGAAAGATGCTGCGCTAAAAAAAAAATAAATAAAAGCTTCGGATTGATATGATGGAACACAGTGATCGATACGTGACGAGTGATGTGACTTGCATAAATTAAATGCATTAGTGTTAAAGGATATCAGAAGAGGAAATAAACTGAAAGCCTAAAACTGAGCGTCGACTTAGAGGCCTACATCATCTCCCTGAAACATTTAGCCTAATAAATCCCAAGACACCATGATATAGCCTATAGCCTATTCTGGGTTATTCAATAACGAATTTACGATCAGAATCAACAAATAAAAATAGATATATAATCATTGTGCCAGTAGAAATGATCCTGTGCCTCTGAGCAGGATATAGGCCTACTGTAATTAATTATTCAGGTGCAGGTGTTTGCTATCAGAAAAGTGCACATGTGTGCAGACCTGGGGTCTCATTTATAAGTACAAAACAGGTCTGGAAACGTGCGTAGGCTTACACCACTTCCCAAGGAAAGGTTGTGATCTATAAAAAACAAACTTGACGGGAAAATGTGCGGTCCTCTAAGTAAACTCTGATCCATGCCTATAAAGAGGAGAAAAGAGAAACAGCTGACTGACATGGCAGAAGGGTGAATTGTTTTGAATGAATAGGCCTACTATTGTGTAAAATAAATCGAAATATTATCTCTGAGTATTATAGGCTTAAAGCCTTTCTGAATAAACAAACACCCGTTTGATAGACTTTCCCTGAAGTGCGCAAAAAGACACACAATTTAAGATAATTTGCCACGCACAAAAAGATCCAGATTTAGGATAATAAACACAAAGGGAGATATCTGTTTCTGAAAAATAATACCTCAAGTATGTTAATCCGGAATCACATTAAATAATACTGCAATGCAGTTTATTCTCATAAATAAGGGAAACAGGAGGAAAAATTACATTTAAATTGATGCGGTTTTCAGTGCCTCAGTCCAGCAAATACCAGAGCATAGTTTTATATATTGTTATCACAAGTTCTTTGCCTTTTCGAGCCAAACGCTGTGCGCCAGCGTGTGGATGTGATGCGCTGCTTTTAAAAACACATTATGGAAATTTAACATTATTTTATGTAATTTAGCTGAATGCATTTGGTTTAATCTCTTTTCAAACGGGGGGAATCCAAATTAGTACCTGGGTCAGCGTTTGTGTCCCCCTCCAGCCAGTGACGTCACTGAAGAGATGCCCCTTCCTGCAGATCGGTTATAAAGGGGTGGAGCTCCGGTGCCCCATTTCCTCAGGTGCTCAAGCGTTGTGTGAAAGTGTTTTTTTACCCACCAAACAACATGTTTCAGCTTCACCAAAAGGAACGTCAGTGTCACACTAAGTAAAATCCTTTTCTTCCTGCAGTCAGGAAGTATTAATATTAATGAAGGGCGTTTGACTGACCATTTATAGGCAACCATGGGCGTTTGAAGGGTCGGACATGGAGCTCCCTCACATACGCCGCATTTCGAGTTGATTGTGATTTATAAAGGGAACTTACTTACAAGTGTGCGCATGCACGGTTTTATACGTCTGAATATTTTTGGTGTACACCATTTTAAGCTTTTGGGAGTACATAGACTTTTAGTGAGGATTGTAAGCACAGTTTTATAAATGAGACCCCTGGAAATTCCTATTTCTGCATTCACTCTGACACAATAAAGATGCACTGAGTTTAAATGAGTAGAATAACATCAACATGTCTTTTCAGAGCAAATGTCTCAGTTACTCTGAAAAATAAACAGTTTTGAGTGGAAAAAAATTCTACCAAGAAATAGTCCCTGAAAACTTTATGACTTTTGCCAAGCCTGAGTTTCAGTAGGTTTCTGTGGGATGTGCTCATCCAATTTGAAGAATTAAAATCACAACTGACAGAAATAGAACTTTGTTGATGCATAAAATGATCAAAACAATTTTTCTACAAACAATACAAAAAATATAAAATCCATTCAGGTGAGGATATGTTGTTCGATAGCAGATCATGACATAAAGTAACTGTTGAACTTGATCTTTCTCATCCAACTCTGAAAAAGACACTGACTATAATCACCTGGGTACTAAAGCTCAAACATACTGTAGCAAACTTAAAGAAAAGTTGAAAATAAATGACAAAATGAAAACTAATAATATGCAGTCCGTACCTGTGCTTTGTGCTAAAATAGAGAGTAATTAAATCCACATGATGTAATTGTTTTATAATCTACTGATAAATTAACACAATTTTTACACACAACACAATACTGAACATGTCTCATGTTTGAAAGCAGACGCCCACACAGTAAGTTTATAAAATGCTGTCGACCATTTTTCTTTACCAACTCAGCTCTCTTTACAGACCTGGAAGAAAAACAACAAAATATCAAGATATAGGTTTATTCACGATGTAAGGATGCTGTCTGACGTGTTATTTTGAAATAGACCCATTTAATTATCTGCAGAATAAATCATGACAGAATGATCATCATATGGCAGCTTTATAACCAAGTGCTGTTCCTGGTTTGACTTCAGAATAAACTGTTTCATCAGCTGCTGCAGGAGGTGATTTTCCTGTAGATGGAAAGTTATGGAAAATTGCCAATAAAGTCAGAATTAATAATGTACTGAACTAACAGGTACACTGTCAGAGTTAACGTCTCCACGAACACAAAGAATGACAGTATTGTAACGCCCACAGAGCTCAAACCAGCAGAGTAGTAGATCTTTCACAGGATTTACTAATGTATGTAAACTGTTCTTAAACAAGGCAGAAATACAAAATGTAAAATAAATATTCAAAATTACTTTCAAACTGTTCGTTTTTAAATAGCTGGTAACTTGAAATAGACCAGTTGTCGGCAGCACTGCATGCACGCAAACCTCACACAAGACAGGTGAATGACAGGTGAGGGAGAGAGAAAAGGGTCTTCAAAAAGCCTCAGTTTAGCTGGAAATTTACAGTGTAAGCTGAATTAATAGAGACTGCAGCTCTGCAGCTTCTCAAGATTAAAGCAGAGCTACCCTTTGTAACGCCCCCCCCCCCCCACACACACACACACACACACACACACGCTCGCAATCACCACACACAAAAACACACATGGCAGGACGATTCGACTATGTAAATCCTTAGTCGGGGACTGTACAGCTGGATGGATGAACGGACGGGTTGACGGGTAGACTATAAAACAAAAGAAACTTGGGATGCTCTTGTGTTTTTCAAGTACAGTGGCGTCAGATTTTGAATGTAAATGAAAATTCAGACAAATTGTCACCACACTGACATCTCAGATAATGTTTTTGTTTTTTTATGCCTTAATCTGTGGGATGAAAATATATTGGAAACACACGACACCCAACACACAATAAGATTCACATGCTGATACAAAACAAACAGAAATCTTAAGAGCCTAAAGGCCCAGATGTGTGTGAGACTTGACAATTTCCAGCTCTGGTGACGCCTAGTGACAGTATGTAGTAGATACCGAAGGTCACTGAGATTAACTGAACTGCATGCTGAACCATATTTACCTCCAGCGTAATGATACGACACATTTCAAGATAAACTTTGAGCATGACTGTTGTCTCTGACTGTACCTGCAGTCCCAGCGTTCACCTCAGAGTAAACACAGACCTCCTCTGGTTCATGTCGCTTCTCTGTTAAGAAAACCAGATGAAACCAAAAACAATAAATCAATACTTCACTCTTCAGGGCAAAACATCTCTAAACTGTTTCCTATTTATGTATTTAGAGTACTCACTTTTCTTTCTAACGTTTTTAATCTCGATCAAAGAATATGTGAAATCCTGGGACTCATCTGCAACTGAAATATACAAAAACAGCACTAATATTATTTTAAGTAATTTGATCTGGTTGCTGGAAATTCTGATTAATTAAAAAAAATATTAAAGTGCAGTTCAAGCAAAAAGAAAGCTGACATCTAAAACGTTTTCACTTGTTTTACATAGCATGTTAATAAAATGATAAAAAGGTATATACTGTACCACTCTGTGTGTTTTCAAAGCCTTTGATTGTTTCATAGAGAGGAGCATCACCTGCAGCCACTGTCAAATTAATCTATTTAATTGCACGATACAAATGAAACACTATCTGAATTTTAAAAAGTGTGTAGATATACATCAATTAAATGCTTACCGTGGACAGGAGAGGAGTAGTTTTCGACAGAACCTCGATTAGTGCTCTCAGACTGGATTGGCCTACAACATGAATCAAACACAATACATATAAAAGGAACAAGAAATGTTGCTGCTGTGTTCAAAATTAGAGAAGGGAGTGTTGTACCAACCTGATGGAGCAGGAATCTGTGAAAAAGACATTTGTTGTTACATGGTTTTGTTTTGTAAGTTGTTATTCAGCTATTCTATGTGATGAGATCAGAACACGTGTTCTGAATAATTAAATCACATAATATCTAATAAAAGAAGAAAAGGTCTCACCTTTGGACGGTCTGTAGCGATACAAAAGGAGCAGAAGAAGAATAAGTACGATTCCACAAACCAGCCCAACAATCAACGGTACAGGAACTGAAGAGCTTTCAGGTCTGGACACTGATATAAATAAATAAATAATAAATAACTGTTAACTTATAGCTTAAAGCGCTTGTCTTGAACAAATGTGCTTTATTAAAAATTTTAGTCATGTCACAACTACAACACATTCAAGCACAAATGCAGAGGTATAAACACATATGC